ATCTTTTGGTTATTCGTCGAATCTGCATGAGAAAGCCCTTCAGTAGGCAAGGCCATGAACAATTTCAATGAAATATTTCGGATTTATAACACACTTATTTGTGGGAAATCGGATTGCCAGTTCTTCCATTGCCTAGACGGATCACGAATCCCTCTTAAGGATCCACTTCTTTGTAGGCAATGAAAACAGCCAAACGGGCGTGACTCGAGTTCTCAATTCGAGTTAATGTTCTTCAAGCCAAATTTTCTCCGTCCAAGTTAGACAATCGGTGCAATTTTTCTAGGCCCCCTTTTTCGGGAAGGACAAGAAATGATGTGGAAAGTTGTAACTAGTTGTTGGCCATATCAGATCTGAATTCTATAACACCTGAGCAGAGCTATCAGTGATCATTTTCTTTCTGGATTTGTCTTTGAGCTCTTAAGTTGAAACGAAATCGGCTTTGACATTTCAATTAAGATAATCGTGTTTTGTTGACTTTCATTTCGCATGAAAGTGTATATGATGAAGAGTTGTATTCATCCTATTCCGCTTTAGGTCATGAAGGACTGGTAGTTGAAATTTCCTACAATGATATGCGGAGAGCTGATGTTTTCCATTGAATTTCACATTGCCCTGCTCTCCCAAAAGGTGTTCTTATCCAGAGAACAGTCCAGCGTAAAAGCTCGACATGTCAACTACTACGTCACATTGCCACGAGTGCCCTGGGGTCACAGGAAAGATGTGAATTTTGACGAATGTCAGGCATTTTTCATATCGCATTCTGCGTTGGGATTGTCGTTGAAGAAAATTTATATTTGCTGTAGCAATCGACGACATTACTTTTTTCGTGAGTAAGTAGGTAGTGGTAGTGGTTACACATTACACTGTCATGGTTCGACTCCCGCTTGGGATGTTGATAAGACCTATGCGAGGTCGAAACTGCCGTCCACTCTGGATGATGATCTGGGCCAAAAGTTGGGTTTTTACGGGATTACTCTAACCTATACACGTACTAATGCTGATACCCACACCCCCACACATACATACATGCGCATAGATACACATACCACATTATTCCATATCCATCTATATCTATACGAAGATATTTTCGTTTTTAGTTATGGAGATGGATAGCATCTAAGATAGAGGTAGATAGTCTTCTTGAATTTATGTTGCTCTCCTGACGATGTCTGTCGACTGAAGGATGCTTTAAGGACTGTGTCGACCTGAACACCGTATCTAAGCCGAACGTCTGCGCAACAGGAATTGGCCGTCATCTTCTCGTTAGATCGGTCACCGAAACTCTTCATCAGAAACATGTTTCGTGAGTAAGTAGGTTTTCGAGACTACCTGTACATCACCCTATTTCGTGTAATGTGATAAAGAGCTGGCAGTTGAATTTTCCCACGATGGTATGAGTAGAGCTGAACTTTTCCAGTGAATGTCACATTCACATGCTTTCCCATAAGGTGTTATCATTTGGAATGGACTGCAGTTTCGACCTCAACACCAAAAGCGGGGGTCGAACCATGACAGTTTGACCACTAGCACTACTGGTAGTCTCGAAAGCCAACTCACTCACGAACAAAATAATGTCGTCGATTTCTACAGCAAATATATGTTTGCTTCATCGACAATCCAAACACAGAATGTGATATGAAAAATGCCTGGCATTCGTTAAAATTCACATCTGTCCTGTGACCCAAGGGCACTCGTGGCAATGTAGCGTAGTAGTTGACGTGTCGAGCTTACACGCTGAACTGTGTTGGTTCGACTCCCGCTTGAGGTGCTGATAAGACCAATACATGGTCGAAACTGTAGACCATCCCAGATGAGAACGCCTTATGGGAAAGCATGGAAATGTGACATTCACTGGAAAAGTTCAGCTCTACTCATACCATTGTGGGAAAATTCAACTGCCAGCTCTTCATCACATTACACGAAATGGGGTGATGTACAGGTAGTCTCGAAAAACTACTTATTCACGAAACATCTTTCTGATGAAGAGTTTCGGTGACCGATCTAACGAGAAGATGACGGTCAATTCCTGTTGTGCAGACGTTCGGCTTAGATACGGTGTTCAGGTCGACACAGTCCTTAAAGCATCCTTCAGTCGACAGACATCGTCAGGAGAGCAACATAAATTCAAGAAGACTATCTACCTCTATCTTAGATGCTATCCATCTCCATAACTAAAAACGAAAATATCTTCGTATAGATATAGATGGATATGGAATAATGTGGTATGTGTATCTATGCGCATGTATGTATGTGTGTGGGTGTGGGTATCAGCATTAGTACGTGTATAGGTTAGAGTACGAAATAATTGAGGGTAATTACGAAAGAGACCAACTTTAGGCCCAGATCATCAAGCATTCCTGACCCAATAAAAAACACAACCGGTGGCGATTCAATTTGACCAGAGTATGAAGTGACTAGTATTTGTTGGCCGGATCATATCTGAATCTATCATGTCTGAGCGGAGCTCCCAACGACTGGAAGCCTGGCCTAGAATCGTCTAACGGGTCTATTTTGAACACCTAATTTCTAAAAAAAATCGCCAATTCTTCCCATTGCCTCATATGATTTGACATCACTAGACTTAAGAGGATCGACCCAAAGATCCGTGGTTTCAACCAGTTGAGCCAATCCGAGATGAACTCATAAGTACGATCAAAAAAGCTGATCTACAGTATCAATTGGCGACAGTGACAAACTGACAAATGTCCAGACGGACGGATAGACAGACAGGCAGACTTGCAGACACATTTACAATCTGATGAGTAAGGAGAATAGTAATCACATCATTAAGCACAGTTTGGACACCTATTCACACACATACACGAAGAGACGAAGAGAAACATGTGCGCACACAAACAAACACATACAGGGAGGGAGCCACATTTTGCATGACATGAATTAGGCCTTTGGACAATTTTTCGGCACTCAGCCAAGTTGATGCATTCACTTCGGCCAACTATTCTGCATCGCAACGCAACCCGAGACATCTTTACACATGCTTACTCACACTCATTTATGGCACGAGCGCATACTTGCAGGGCTATTAACACAAATCCACCACCTGAACCACGCGAGAGAAGAGGAAAACCGGAAAAATTATCCCCTTGAGAAGGTCAGAGCAGATGCGCAGACTGGGCTAGTGGCCCGATCAAATTTGCCTGTACGTTGAAGTAGTAGCTTAACTGAAAATTGATCTACCATCTCCACGAGCCAGTCTGTCCCATCTTCTTTCTGTCGTCCCTGTTGTACGGCTTATCGGATTCAACATCTTGCCTTGTCCACATACCATCCAGCCTCACCGAGAGACTGGCTTGATTGGCTGAGCAGTTCGGCCATCGCCGCTCCTTCAACTTTGCCCCACCCGCCAGCTTCATTTGGCCCAGTCCTACTCCCACACTTCCACACTTCCACACTTCCACACTTCCACACTTGCGCACCTGTTCATGTGTACACTTGCACACAATTGCACTCTTGCCGACTGCCTTACGCAATGTCTGCGGATGTCGCGACCGAATCCATGCTTCGAGGTTGCCAGTTCACCGAAGCCTGCGAGGAAATCTGCATTGGAAAAGGGTCAAGCAGAGAGCCATGTGGCTTGATGATAGATTGAGGGGTAGGGTGAAAGCAATTCAGGAAAAGTTGGATTCCGGCGAGATCGTCGGTAGCTGTGACAAAAGGAGGGAGCTGGCGGCGAACTGAAGAGATGCCAAAGAGGATAAACACTATTTGGCCATTTCATAGTAGACCCGACAGAAATCGTGTCTTTCCCATCTTCCCCTCGATCTCCCCTTAGGCCCGTCGTATCAACAACATTTTCCAAAAGCACACTTGCCCATCTTCGACCCAAACAGAAACACATGCGCACACGAGCAAGCGAGCCTCTTACTTGCTTTATCGGTGAGTAAGTCTCTGTATATGTGTGTGTGTGTGTGTGTGAATGTATGTAGGGAAGCGCGGAGAAAGAGAACGATTGTTCTGCCTCTGGGCGAGCAGCCTTACCGCTCGCGTCATGGGACTTGGCTTCCAGTTATCGCAGAGATACAGCCAGTCTGGGTGAAGGAGGATGTAAAAACGGGAGAGAAGTTGAGAAATAAAAATTGTTTTTCAGGTATTCGCTTGTGTCTACGACCGCATACATTTACCTTTGATGAAACAGTGTTGCACATCTCGATTTGTGCATGTGTGCCTGTGCCCAGTGTGAATACCTGAAGCTGAATGGGGTGACGTGAAGAGTCTACAGAATGGCTGTCTAGGCTGGACTAAATGAAATTGAGACCGAAATAAGATTCTCAGAGCAGCGCCTGTCGATGATTGAGGGTTGGTGATGCATCATGATATTGAAATAGAAAAAAAATTAAGCATATATTTATATATCGGCCGCTTT